CAATTTTCTCTCCTGAAAATAGTTTTTTTAAAGTTTTATTGTGTTAACATTGAATTTTAATGTCTACATTTGAGCATCTATGCAAATTAATGAACAGCATTATTTTAATATCCTTGACTAGTATATTAAGAAAATTTGGATTGATGTTTGATAACTAGTGTATATTGCAGAGTTTAAAATTAGATTGCCAGCTAAAATGAAAATTTCTTAAGTGTATATTTTAGTTTTTGTTGTTGACTATAAGCACTTAAATTCTCAGAAATGTTCAAACTACATTATAGATCATGTTTCTTTAAAATATATTTTTTATTTCATACTTCAAAATTAAAGAAACTTAATATTTTGTATTAATGGTAGTAAAACGATTTAAACAGATTTTTAATAAATCCGAGATTATCTCATATCATTTTCAATAATTATTAAGCTTAAATTAGAAATTAGCTGTAAAGAAGGGAAAAGTGCAACACACTCTTATTTTCATTTTTACCTTCAACTGTATAAGATTTAAGTGTAATGCCTTTCAATGAAGTTAGAGTTGTCTAAATTTAAGAACTTTATTTGTGTTTTTATTTTTATCTAACTGATAATTGCATTTGTATATAAATAAGAAAAAAAAAACAGTAAAAAAAACTTCAGTTTATAAACCTTTAAAAAGATTGTGCATGTGTGAATAGCAGACTATATAATCATGAAATCAGCAAGCTGAGTTCAAATTCTGGCCTAATCTATTGCATTCGCTTCTGCACAAATGCCCTTAAGGGAAGGCAGAAATCCATCTCTTCTCCCAAGATGTGGATTAAATAGTCTTGGGTGGTGGTAATAAGTCTTAGAAAAGAAAATACTTTGGAGAAGACACTCCTCTATCTTTCCCAAGAATGCATGGTAATTTATGGATAATAAAGTAAAACAATCTATAGAGAGCCGTTACAAATGTCTATACCAGTGTACAGTCAATTCCACCCCATGTCCTGAAATGGCATGACAATTGAATATTGTAATTAGCATCAAACATTTTGTATAGTCACAGTCTATGAAAAATGCAGGGAGGGGGTGTCTTTATATTAATTTTTCAGCCACTTTCAGCCTCTTTTTTTTTTTTTTTTTTTTTTTTTTTTGACATGATTTACATATATTTTAAAAATAAATTGAAATAGTTATTTTTGATCATTATATATGCTTGTTTTATAAAATTTGTATCTGCTAGATTATTTGGAAATAGTTTTCATTTAACAGACTAAAGATATTCAGTCACAACAAGAGAAAAAATTGTATGTTGATATTGTAAAATATTTGCCTTTTGAATGAAGGTAATGTTTAATAACAGAGTTGAAAGACTAGAAAATGTATTTGAATTGAGTGAATCATATGAAGGTCAAAATGATGATAACAACTGTCATATGTGTACCATTTTGAAAATAATACTTTCAAGTAAAAAATCCTTCATTTTTCACTTGATTTAATAATTCTTGATCTTAACATTTAGAGAACATTTCAGATTGTGCTGCAAGTTGAGAAATGTTGGAATGCATGAGTTACAAATAGAAAAAGGTGTTAATGTAAAAGAAAGTTAGGTTTGGTGTTAAAACGGTTACAATGTAATGACATCATGCTGCAGTGCATCTTGTGTTTTACTGTAATTTAGTTAGCTATCAATACAGAATTCTAAGATGATTTTTATATAAAACACAAAGATCTCAGCAAAATCTGTTATTACAATGTCTCTATTTCTTCATATATTCTTTCAAATATAAATGTATATGAATTGTATCATAGAAAATTCATAGCTTGAACACAGGTGTTATGTAGTTCTGAAAATCTTTAGATATTGAAACCCCAATTTATTGTGTTAGAAATGTCTACAATAAAAAGGTATTATTGCATTTTCAGTGACATAAATCTTTATAATTACATAGAATCTGAAAATCTTCCTTCTTCATTCAGTAAGAAAAACAAAGTGACAAATGGAATAGTAATTATTTTTTTAATACACAACTGTATGACATAAAATAATACTTTTAAAAATAACTCATCACTGAAATTAATTTTGTTATTTTGTTTGAAAATTTTTATTTATGACATCAAGTACAGGCTTATGAAAACAAATTTCAAATAATTTAATTGCATTTCATTATTTTTGATAGATAAAAATATTAATGTTGCTCATTCTTTTTTCTTTTTTTGCATAATTTCATATTCAAAAAACACTTTGATATTTCCCTGCCTTCTTCTATTGATATATAAGTTAGATATAGATTTTTAAATTATCTCCTTATAAAAAAAATTAACTTTTTAGAAAAACCGTAGTTGCATATGCACATATCAAACATATTTAATACTTAATTCTTTTTATGTTTAAAGATGTTAGTTTTGTTCCGTTAATCTTTTTTTATCAAACAAACCATTTTTATCCAAAGGATTTGTATAAAGCATATCTTTCACAAATTTGTTTCCTTACATTAAAGCCTTAATGTTTTATTTTAAATTAAAATAATTCTTGTAGAAAAAATATCTTGAAGTATTAATATCTTAAATATGAAAATGGTTGCCAAATAAATTCAACAGTGTATTTTTATAAGCAAATTAATTCATTATTTTTTTCTGTAAATAAAAATATGAAGTACCTTCACATGAGGATAAAGTAACAGTTTTTTTTTTATAATGAATAATAGAAGTTACATTATTAATTACTGCCATTCATATAAATTAAATTTCTGATTACCTCAACATTTTTTTATATCAGAAATCAAGTAATAGCTGATAACTTTTTCATTTTGTATTCAGAAAATTCATAATGCGTCATTAAATTTTCTTCTTTGCTTGCTTCAGGCAGTTCTTTCTAGTGCATGTGTGCAAACCATTTTGTAAAACTTAAAACTTTTTGTAACTGAAAATAATCAGTTCCTAACATTTTTTGAAATTCTCATTTCTGTAACATTTAATGTTTTGAATATATGTTTATTGACACTTGTGATTTTTTTTTTTTGTTTATAAAAAGCAGACTATATCACCCACATCCGAATGTATTTTAACCAACTGATCATTTTAAATTTCTCAGGAACTTTGAAATGTCCTCTTTAGTAGCATTAGAATTGTATAAAACAAAAATGCTTTGTGATTAGTAGTGTTTAGAAATAAAACAGATTTTTGACTGTTTTTAACTTTAGAAAGTTAAACTTCTGATTTTAACTCCTTAAAATTCCCTATTGGCACACCTACTTAGCATTGATTAATCCTAAGGCTTAGAATCAATCAAAAGATAATTTCAAAATGCATCTTCATTCTGTTGATTTTATTGATAATGTTTTCTTAGATATTTTAATCGGCTCAGTTTTGAGGTCAGAAAGTGAACTTGTTTTATGTCTTTAAATATTTTTGAAAATATAATATAAAAAATAATCTCTTTTTTAATGGGGTATGTGAACAAGAATGCAGCCTTCTAATTTATTTGCTGGTTTGTTGCTAAATAATTTATGAAGCATATTCATATCCTTGGTTATGTTATTTACACTTATTGGTGAGAAAATTTATATTAGTTTTAATTTTTAATTTTTTGGAACTGATATCATTTTGGGTTTATTGTTCTTTCCTTTAGTTTTATGGTACATAAATCAAGCAACCCATTGACAGAAAAACATAGTATTTATACTGACATGTTTTAAGTAGCAGAGTTAATTTGAAATCTAGTTCTAGGTGGATGACAAGGTTTGCGGAGTAATTATTTTACTTTTACTATTTCAAATACTGATTTTTATGCTGTCATTTGTTTGCTGCTTAGGAACTGCATTCACTGCTTTCAACCAATTCTATCATTAAGAAAACTGAATTATTTATTTAAAAAATAGCAAGTACAAATTTTAAATGGTTTCTGATTTTACATCCAAAAGTACAGTGTAAATAATTTTTTAATTAAATAAGAATTTGCTTATCCAATCATTCTAGGCTAAAATTTGTTTTCATACAAGTTGAAGTTCAATTTTGTCATTTTAAATAATATTTAAAAAGAAATTCTTTTCTTCCTCTTTCATGTGAATTCTGTTTTGCTTTCTGTCAATACAAAAAAAGTAGGAAGTAATAAAAGTACTCCTTCTCTTCAGTTTAATGTTGCTGATTATTCATTGTATTTTTGGACATAAAATATTCACAAACTTTATATCTTCATTTGAGTCTATTTTATATGGTGGGAAGCAGATTAAAGAAACTTTAAAAGCCAAACTAAAAGATTGTAAGTTTTTTGTTGTTTTGTTAAGAGGATAGTAATTTGAAAAGGTAGAAATAAACATATTTTCTTATTCTTTAGTGAATTTATTGGTACATGTATTGCCATAATTATCTTTTGACTTCATGAGCCTTTTTAAATTAGTGGTATGTTTGTAAAAAAATTTTCATGCATGCACACATGTGTGGGTTTTTTTACCTTTCTTATTTTGAAAGCTTAATTATTAAACTTTTGTATATCTCTGTCAACTTTTGCAAATCCTCTACTTTTTGCCACTTGAACATCTTAGGAAGACATTACTGGTTTGTATTGCCAAATCTACTTGCCAACTTTTGATGCCTTCTCCTTTTGCTATTTCTTTCTGTTTCTCCATTTATTTCTCACCCTCCATTACTTCTTTCACGCTTTCAATTATATGGAATCCATTGCATATGCTGATAGAATCTCCAACATTAGAGAGTGCAGCACTGCCTATGTTTATTTGCCTTTTAGAAGGTGAGCCCACTTTTTTTAAATGATTTCCCCACCTCCATTAGTTTTTATTTTTTTCCTCTAATGTTTGCAGTTGGATTTGACAATGGCTGAAAGAAGCAGCAGCAGTGAGAGAGAGCTCCTTTTTGCAGACAGGCTTTAACACACTTGTCTACCAGCCCATGACACCCACTACTTTCCTCATCTTCCCTCCACCCTCAAATTTCCATTGCACTTTTTCTCTTTACTAACATTAGTCGCAGCTAGTGCCGCCTGTCTGGTAAAAGTTGTTAACCAACTTTAAAAATTCCACATGCTCTTTTCTCTCTCTCTCCTAGTGAACAATCATTTCACTATTTAAAGTTTGTTTTTCACATTCACTTTTTAATCCCCACCACACACTCTAACAATATAAGTATTTCTCTTTCCTCACATTTTTTTTTTCCTTAGATTTTTCTTTTACTTTTCCTAAATTATTTTCCTTTTTCTATCTCTCTCTGCGTTTGTCTTTGTCGTTTTTTTGTTTGTTTTTTTTTTGTTTTGTTTTGTTTTTTGTTGTTTTTTTTTTTTTTCAAAAGTATTGTCTGCTTACCCCCACTCTTTCCCACCCACCCACACTCACTTTTCCCTGGTTGAGGAGTGGTTTGTTGAAAGTATTTGAGAAGTTGCTTGTTTTGAATTCAACATTGCAGTTTGGGTTTAGGTTGGGTATTGTGTTTCTTGTTACCTTGCATTCACAGCAAATGCCTCACTCATGTTGGTAGCAGCAGCAGACGCAATCGGACAGGCCACCACTGACAGCTGTGTGGGTTAGGGTATGCCGGTGGTGGTGGTAGCGCTCCTCCTGCTGCTGCTACATGTCTATACCAGTGTACAGTCAATTCCACCCTTCATGATGATTATGATGATATTTTCTCTCTCTCAGTGTTACTCACCTACTTTTCTTTTTCTCTCTCATTACTTTTCTTTCTGCTAAATGTGGGTGTTGCTTGGTGATTAGCCGAGAAGTTTAAAACTCTATCGTAAGATATTTTCCTGCAGAGGGAAAATTTTCCCTCTTATGGTCAATGTGGGACTTTGAAGTATCAATTAGATAGAGGAAATGTATTTCCATCCTTCCATTGCTTTTCTTTCCAGCATCACACTGTAATGCACACGATGGCATGTATGTCTGCATACAAATGTGCACAATGTTTCTTATGCACTTTGTCTACATGTGTCTAATGCTACACTTAAATGGATTAACTATATATATATATATATATGTACATAGGGCACATTTACATTCAAATCCCTGAATCATATGTAACCTCTTTTATCAAATGGGGAGAAGCATTCTGATTTCTTTTTTATAACAGGGCAAAACTGATAAGATTGTATTTCTTTTTACACCTGACATCCACTGAGAAAGAATCCTCTCATCAGCAGAAAGTGAAGATGTAGGACTAAGCCAGAGACAGACACACCACAGTCTAGCATGTATATACACACACAAACACACACACACAGTTGAATATAAAATAATCTTTTCTTTTTCTTTTTAATGGTGGGGGATGAACATTTTAGACACATTGTTATGTTTATACCTATGTGGAAAAGGAGTGTGAATGGATTTTTATTTTTGTGTAAATCCTTTCTCTCTTGCACGATCTTGGATCCCATACATATTTATTAGATAATTGGACGCTGACTGGCTAGTTGAATGTTTTCTTTCTAGTTACCTAACAAAACTTACAGTTGGCATATTATAATCTTAGTCTTAACTAACCTTCCAATGATTACCTAACATTCTACTTTCAAACACTTGAGCTGTTCTACATTACTTTTGCAGCCCGTCACGGATTACTTTATCACATGCTTTGATGAGGGTCACTAGACAAGATATTATGAGTGAACTTGCACTTTTCAAATCTCTCATTCTGTGTATGTGTGTGTGCACACATGGAAATAGGAATTTACCTTTTGTTTCAGCATCTCTGTTTCACTTATTCATTCTATTTCTTGTTATGCTTTTATTGGTTTAAGAATTCTTTCTTTCTACTTTCAACTTTACTTTTCGTTAATCGGTTCAAAATAAGTTTCTAGCTTTATCATTAACATTTGGATGATTTTTTTTTTTTTTTTTTTTTTTAAGGCATAGGAGTCTAATATAGGAATAGGGAGATAACAAAATGTGAAAAGTCCTGTTTGTTGGTTATCTTATGTTATGATAAGTTGAACGCAAAATAGATTATCTCTTTCTTTTCTGAGTTCTTTTCTCTTTCAGACAAGAAATTTTGTTCATTTTTTTTTAATGAGGATGATAGAAGAAAAACTAGAATATCTTGTGAAATATCTTCAATTCATACATAAAATTTTATATCAATATAGTGTCTGGTCTTTGTTATAGACATTCAGATATAATATGCCAACTACAGTTTAGTTTTGTTTTATGTAATAATTATTGTTAGTGAAATTGATTGGTAAAATAAGAAAAAAATATTTCTTGCTTACTATGTGTATATGATTAAATTGCTCTGAAGTAGTCCCTAATCTCAAGTGGCTAGTTAACAACTGTCTAGGGCCTAAATGCTATGATGCAAGAGTTGGGTTTTAGTTGCAACTCACAGGCAGGCAAGCACCACAGCGCATGTGCACATATGTGTTTGCTCACACACACAATCAAGAAAGGCAACTGTGTGTGTGTGTGTGTGTGTGTGTATACATATAGCCTGTCACTGCAGCCATATTGCACTCATGTCGCACTATCTACTCTCTTTAAGTAAAATAAGCTCTGAAATTTTTCAAGATGCCAATCTTAACCAGGTGGTTGACCTAGTTAAAATATCCTGTTAGTCACATGACCATATTGAGGCTGATTAAGTACATAACAAGAGAGAGAGAGAGACTGAAATTGATTGGCAAAATATTTAGAGGTGAAAGTAGAGGGTGAGATAAATTTTCTCTCTCTCTCTCTCTCTCTCTCTAGTTAATAGTTATTTGTTTATTTATTTATCATCGTTCTAAGGTACCACCATCACCATTGCTCTCTATCCCAACATCATCTACAGTCAACATTATAGGATTGCTGCCATTTACTGTATGCTTGGCTAGAGAAAAACACAAAGTTAAACACAAGCTTAACAGAGAGAGAGAGAGAGAGAGAGAGAGGGAAATGCTGCTTGCTTCTTTTCTAGTTTACCCTGTCTGCGTGTATGTGTGCCTCCTGTTCTTTTTTTCTCCTTTTAATTTCCCCCACCTCTTTTTCTCTCTCTTAACCACACAGATTCACACGATTTTTTTGTCTAAACATTCTTATCTAGTTTATAGCTATATTACTAGATACTCATGTCTACCCAGGAAAATGCATGTGTGCGCAACTGTGGCTATCTACAAATTCTAACCTGTATATGCACATACCAGCATAGACACGCATGCACACACATTTGTCTGTGTGTTGGTCTGGAGATTTGTAAGTGGTTTTATTAGTGATTGTGTTTCTATAGAGTATTGGCTGTGCAGTGGATGTTCCTCAGCAGGATGGGAACTGTTGTTTGGCAAAGGAGGGCCTTAGGTCAAAACTGTGTACCCCATGTTTTACTTCACCCTAGGGCCTCCCCAACAAGGAAGCGTACCAATTGTAAGTATTACACGATGAATTTTTGACTAGACTAACATTACACACATCTCATGAAGGTTTTCTTGGTTGATTTGCATTTTGTTTTAAAATGGAGGATCGAAATTTTAAACTTACTGTTAGTATGTTATTGTTGTCATTTCTCTAGTGTAATTTCACACATGTATACTCTTAGCTTTTAAATCTCTCTCTCGGATTGCTACTGTTATCTCGACTGCATGTGTTAAGTCTGTCCTAGTGTTGCAGGTTGTGAATATTTGTACCCAAGTTATCTCTAAAGGAGTTTATTCTGAGGCAACATTTTCTAAGGAAGGACATATTGAAAATATTTCTCAAATCTTCCTAATAAAACATTTTTTAATTTTGCGTTGTGTATATGTATATGCAAACAGTGTTTCATGTGCGCAGTTTGAGAGAGCCATGAGCAGCACAACTCCTGCTGCAGCAATATACCCACATTTTTATGCCGCCATTATGTGCATGCTTTTTATTTTTGGCAGATCACTTTAAAACCTTGTCTTCTCCCACCCACTTTTTTTTCTGTCTGTCCTTTGCATGGTAACTGACCATCCTTTCAAGCCACTCTTAAATTGATAAAAAAATTTTCTTTTTTGTTTCGTTTTTTTTTTTTTCTCTCTCTCTCTCCTTTATTTTATCTCTCAGTCTTAGTTATGTTTCAAAGTGTATGTAGAACAAAGAGTGACAATTCATTTGGTATATACTTGTCATGCCACTGAAGTAGCAGGTCCATGCTGCATGAACAAGTGACTTTTCTCTCTAAAATACTGACCAGAAAAAGACCACTCATCACGTAACAGTAAAATGTAGGAGGTATAGTTTTAGTTAACACTTAGGAAAGTATTTTAATTTAGATAATTGAACTGCGCTGTTTTCTTTCTTGTGTGTGTGTGTGTCGGTGGGGGTGGATGTTCAAAATAGACAATATAAAGTTTTGAATTTTTACGTTATTGTCTAGGTTCCGTTTCCCCCCGTAATATTCTTCATATATTTTTTTATTCTGTGTAAACCAAGTCTGGTATATAAAAGAAAAGTCCCCAAATGCCCTTGTCTTTCTCCTTTGTCTTGCTTTTCTCTTTTGTAAGCTGCGCATTCTCGACTATTTTATTCCCTTTGCGCATACATTATGCATTGAAACAGTTGGACAGTATTCTTCTTGTTCCATCATTAAATCTGTTTGCCTTTTTACTTGCTTGACAATAATTTAACATTTCAAATATTTCCTTAAAAAAAAAAAATTCTGTTATTTCATTAACACCCATGTGCTAGTACTATTTATATCTTCAGTCCACAAATAGCTTTGATCATTTAAGCCTTATAACATATCGTTCTCGAACTTTCCTTAGGGACTATCCTTACTGGCATTTATTTGAATGTTACTGGCTCTACTATTTTATTGGTTTAAACTTCATTGAGAAACCTGCATGATGTGCAACTATAAGGTCTTTGGCACAAAAACACAAAGTGTGAAATATTTGCATCAAAATGAAGGCATACACGTGCATGTCTGCTACTTTAACTAGGCATACTAGTTTACTAGCTATCTCTCTCTCTCTCTCTCTCTCTCTGCTTGCTTGTTCTCTCATTCTCTCCCCCTCGCTTATTTAAGGCTGTCGAAGGGTGCATAAAACTGCATCTGCGACTTGCGGTTGTTCTGATTGGTTTATCTACTGCACACTTTAGTGAGTGGCTGCACTCGGTGGCAAGAAAAGGTTTTCTACTTCCCAAAATTTTGAAGGTCATATCTTTGACCGTTGGTCACTTCTCTCCAATTAAATAATTTAACATACTATCCTGGCCTGTTTTCTGTCCACAAAGCTTGGATGACACTCTGGCATGATCTGTGACCAATGACCATTGATATGCAGAGATTGTATGTGTGTGTATGTGTGTGCATATGTGCGCGCCAAAAGGTAATGTTGATGTTCTTGATAATTTAGTTTTCTTTCATTTAAACTTTTAAGAAATGGGCTTTTTGTTTGAACTTTTTATTTTCCTTTTTCGAAACTTCATTCCTGTTAGACAATATGATAAATCTATATAGTGTAAGGCAAGTAAATTTTTTGTTCTATTTTTTCAGGGTTTTGGTGGGGGGAGGTAAAAAAATTCCAAAAGGGTTTATCAACTCAGTTTTTTTTCTTCTTTTGTTTGTATATATTACAATTTGTTATCTTTTTCATATTGTCTTTTCTTGATTTCTTTATCCAATCCTAACCTCTCTGTATTCAAGAAATATAGAATTATTTTTATCCATAATGTACTTTGATGATGGCAGAAATCAACTGACCAAATAAATGCCTCCATTATCTCTTCCTCTGCTCCATTTACAGATTACTAATTTGAAACTCTTATGGATTTGAAAGGACTCACACCACCCTACCCCTAATTAGTGTAACTCAGAGTGCAAATAATTTTCACATTACTTTGTGTTGCATTTTCAGCAAGTTACTTTATCTGTTTGCTGTGTGATGGCATTCTATTCAGGTGCTTCTGATTTGTATTGGTTAGTCTTAATGTTTTGCTTTTAAAAAGGAAAACATACTTAAGAATGAACAAAACATCCCCTCACTCATTTAGGAAGATGCAATTTCAGCACTGATAAAAAAACAAAAGTATCTGGGCTCATGTTATATCTTTCTATTGAACACTTTAATATTCTGTAAAAAAAAAATGAGCCCTAATTGTCACCGTTTTTCTCCTGTTATTTCACAGTATATTTATAGACTATTACAGAAGTTAAATTGGTTACAGTTTTGGTATTTATTATTTGATTACTCATTAGAAATTTAGACCCCCCCACACACACACACACACACTTGCTCAATCAGCTTTCTTCACCTATTTGGATATGTTCATAGGCTATAATGTGTGTTATTGTTCAAATACAAGTAACAAATAACTTATCCTATATATGCCTTTCTCGTTGCAATGCTCACTAGTAAACCTGCCATTGTATTTGTCTTTAAAAATTTTCTATAACTCTTCTTCACCAATGGTGTTGGGAAACTGCCACTCTATCACTGGGACTTTATGCTTATTTTAAAATAAACTGGAATTCAGCCTTTGCAAATACCTCTTTTTTAATGTTATTTTCACTAAAGTTATTTCTGAAAATTTAATTTTATCAGGACTGTCAAGAGTCTTATTCTATCATGACTTACTGCCCCTGATATATTTTCACATCTCGCACCAGATTTTCTCAAATACATATTTTTGCTTTTACATTTTTCAGTGTTCCATTTTTACTTTCCCTCCCTCAAATTTAAGAATATTTTTTTCTCTATCAAAACGTTATCACCAAGTATATGCCACATAGCCAGATGTAAAAATCATCTAAAAATTTGTATTCTGGCTTCATTTTGTGGCTAATCGAAAAAGTCTCTGACGTCATTCATATTATTTGTAACGGTTCACCTTTCTGGAAACAAATGCTGCTTACTAACTGCAATTTTAGAAATAGTCTCTTTCAAAACTTATATACCAGAGATCGAAAATTGTATTTTTTTATGTGTTTTTTATTTAAATTGGTTTCTTTACATAACTGTTCATGTAAAATATAAGTTCAAAGTTTGCATCTTAAACTTTCAATAAAACAGTCGGTTTGTGTGTTGTGTTGAGATTATTATTTCTGACCCTGTATACCAGTGTCATTTTGCCATCTTTTCTATATCACTTCTTTGCATCTCCACTATATTTTCTTCTCGTCAAAATGCCATGACATAATTTATTCATCTTGCAAATGTCTTTTCAATGGCAAGCCAAAAGTAGAGCATCATTTTTTAGTTATAGAATATCTTTGTCAAAATGACTTTTGCTTAAGATACTTTTTTGAACATTTTACAGTAAATTCTTTAAAAGCAACAAGTACTCAAGTTGATTGCTTTTCTCAATTTGAAAATTAGACAATACACAGATTGACCTTCAGGCAAAGAATGACATCAAACATAAAAAAAGGAATGTTTCAGTAACACACTTGATAGCAAATTTTACAATATTTGTGTTTACTGAAAAATATCCTCACTTTTCAGTAGTTCAAACTGGTGAATTTAGAAAAATATCTTTCAGGTTTGAATTGTTCGCTGTAATTTTAATGGGGTTATTTTAGCTACTCCATTTAAATTCCAGTGACTCAAACAGTCATGCAATCATCCACGCAACACTTAATAACCCAAATTCTTATATTGACATTTCATATATATTATTCTATTTAAGGAAATTCAGTGTAAAGCAGTTACTATAAAGTTACAAAGTTAAACATGTAGAGTTAAAGTGTCTTCTCTTTTGAGAATAGTATTACTGTATACTTGATAATTTGGAGTTTTTAATTTTTTTCAAAATAACTACAGTTTTAACTGAATAATTGTTATTGCCAAGATTTTTGTTTATGTACTTAAGAGTGTAGTTTTTATGTGGATATTGTGTGTGTGTGTGTGTTTATAAATCCATTCACTTTGTTTTGTTTGTAACTAATTGTTCTTCCTTTTGTGATTGACAGATGGTTAACACCGAGAGTCAGTGAAACAAGAAAACAGCGGGGGCAGAAGGGAGCGGGGTCAGTAACTTAGTCTCCAACCAAGCTCATCATTAGGTCACTGTAAATGACTCTTCATTTACTGTATTACTTACTGATGATGCTACATGCAATTACTTGTTTATACATTGGTGTTGTTGTTGTTCTCTTTATTGTTGGTGTTGTTGTTATCTTTCTTTATTGTTGTTGGCTCCCCCAGCCCATTTGGTTTGTGGAATGATGATGATCTCTTGTCTTGCTCTGTTGTCTGCTCTCTTGTTTTTCATTTACTTCATATCGAATTTCTTTTCATGTTGCTTTATGTTCTGCATTTTCAGTATTTTTTTCTCCTTCTGCCCATAATGGTTTTCCTCAAACAGCACAAAAATATTCACCTAATCACCTTTTGCTTATAGTACATGCATGAATTTTATTAGTTTCTCTCTCTTACTCACTCACTCACTCACTCACTCAC